AACTAAAAACACAAATAAAGGCAGTAAGCTTCGTAACATCAGCCTTAATAACTAAAAAAAAAAAAAAAAAAAAAAAAAAAATTGTCTAATCTAAGAATAATAAATATTTTTAATTTATTTTTTTAATCTATTAATAGTCTGATTCTTATTAGATCTAATATATTTATATCAAGCTAAAGATTACTATTGATTTTCTAATATTAATAATTATATTAAAATTCTATTACAATATTATAACTTCAATATAAGTACAATAAGCTTTTTTTTAAAAAAATAAAAATAAAAAAATTAAATTATATTTGAAGTTATAAATAAATTTTTAAACTTCAAACATATCTGAGATTTTAGTTTATTTATTATAATAATATTATTTCTAATATATTTTTCTAAAACTTGTAGACAAATTATATTATTAAATAAAGATATAATAAATTGCCTAATCTAAAAATAATAAATACCTTTAATTTATTTTTTTAATCTATCAATAGTTTAAAGTATAAGTATAAATTATTAAGATATAATATTTAAAATTAAAAATAAAAACTCAATATTTATTTATAAAATTTACAAATACAAAGAAATAATTTTGCATTTTATTATTATATATAGATTAAAAATAAAAATATTTTAGCTTAATTATTATTATAATAAAATTAAAAAAAACAAATATTAGTTATTAAAAACTTGCAAATATAAAAAAACTAAAAAGATTATAAATTATTAATTTTAATAAATTAGAATAAATTAATAATCATTAATATTATTTTGATTTAGTATAAAATTAAAAAATTTAGTTTACAAAATATTAATGATAAGACTATATCTCTAACTTTATTAAAATTTAATTTAATTTTTCTATAGTAAAAAGAATATCTTTACAAAAAAAAGAATTTAATATTTTAAGATAGCAAGAAAAGAAACTTAGACTAGTTTATCTGCAGCCTAAACTATAGTTTACAAAATTAATACTATTATAAATAATATTTATTTTATAATTTTATTGTATTAACAAACTTTAATTTATTATACAAGATCTTAAAATCTTATTGGTTTTGAATTAATAATAAAATAAGTTACAACTTATTAGTAAGTTACTAGAAGTTATTATTTTAGTAACTTACTATAAATTACTATAATTTTATAATTCTAATTGTAATTATTAATATTAATTATACAAAGGTGTGGTGACTTAGTAAAGTGGTAAAATTGTCACACCTCCAAGTAATTGAGTACAAGTTTAATTCCCACTGAAGATGAAAATTAAATTTAGAAAAATAAATTCAGCAACTATTATTGTGGTCGAGAAAACTCGAGACTCTGTAACTGTGGTCATAACAATTTATTAGAACTGGAAGATCTTGGGCATTTGTATAAAAAGAAGTTATACAGAGTATACACAGTATCGCAAAAAGTTACAAAGCCGATATGGTAGTAGAGTACTCACTTGGCAAGTTCTGAATATAGAGATAGTACAAATCCTTAATGATACTACTAAAATAGAATATACTTAAGATTAATGCAACTGAATGAGAACTGGGTATTTGGCAAGAGTACTCTACCAACCAGGCCGCCAAAGTATTAACTAGAGAAAAAAGATCTGTATGAGATACCAAAGAACTAGTGTCCTTTTCAAACTATCTGAATTAGTAGTTTAGAGAGATTATATAGGCAGTACTAAAAAAAAAAGAAGATACTAGGTAGACTTGAAAGGGAGTACTGGGGTTTGGGTGAATTCTATAAGAGTATAAGTAGGTTGTGTAGTAGTGATCAGACTATAGTTAGTTAAAAAATATTATAAAAAAACTGGTAAGAACAAAACAGCTAAAGAACACTTCTACTATAGAAACTGGGCGCAAGTGGTAGGCCTTGATCTGTGTGTATCAACTAAAGTCTTGTTTAGCAAGATTGTGAGTATGGAAAGCTCTAGCAAATAATGCCTCAAAGATAAATTAGTTCTAAGAGAACAGCAAGTATTCGGGACTTTTTGACTAATGATTGTAATAGGGATATCCTGGTAATATAGGTGAAGATACATTACAGAGAGTTTAAATAAGTAATACTCATAGTTAGGTTACAGATATGGCATCTAGTATAGAATCTAAAAATAAGCAAACTATTTAAAATAAACACCAAAAGTATATATGTGGCTAGTATATATTCTCTAATATAAGGGTTTCTTGATGAACCTCTTGTTTCATATTCCTGAATAAAAACCCCAGCCCCAAAGAGGCTAGTTAACAAAAAAAAATTAATATTAATTATATATCAATAATTTAATACTAAAAATATTATGTGAATAATTTTTTAAGTATTACTATTTCATACTAATATAATATTGTATAAATTTATATAATATTACTTATTTAATAACTACTGCATAAATTTTTATAAATTTTTTTTGTTTAAAAGCTTTAGATTTAAGCAATTTTTTTATTATTTTTAAATTTATATCTTGCTTATTTAGCTTAATATTAATTTTTAAAAAATATTTACAATAATATAATACTCTTGGTATTTAAAATAACCAGAAATATTGGGCTGATAATACTAATATATGAACAGGTATAATAGCATTACAAGAACATACCAATCTTAAAACACCAACTAAGTTAAAATACCCAAGTTGAAAGTTATTAAGTATTACAAAACCTTGTTGAAAGCAATATTTGTTATGTAGCATAGCCTATATCTAACCAACTCACAAAAGTTTTTGTTTGAAAATAAAAACACAATACACAAGTACAAATAGATAATCATAAGAGCTGTGAAGGCTAGTATCTTGAAGAAAAAGAAAGTTATAAAAAGATGCTAGTAGATACAGACAAAAACAATTAAGAAAAACTGAAAACTAATTGGTGAGTCTAGTACTTAAAGATAATGTTGATCAACACCCACCACCAAATTAGAAAATAACCCTGCTACGAGGCCTTAGTTGTAATATCTATTTGGAAGTATATTTGTAGCTTATATGAGTAATATATAGAATATATATATAATACTAATAAAGAAGTGCAAAAATCCCGATCAGGTTTAAAACAGGTTAGATCTTACTGGGTAAAGCTTAGGTCGCAGATAAAGTAGTCTGAACCCCTGTCCCATAGTTGCTTTGTTGTATCACATCGTAATAATGTATTATATAATTAATTAAATATTAATAAAGGCACAGAGGGTATGGCCTCACTTTCAAAATGTTAAAAAAAAATAATAATAATAGCACGTGGTAGCGTCACTATTAATCAACATGTCGATATGTTAAATGACCTTTTAAGTCATTCAGGCTTTGAAATAACCCAATGCTTAGTTATTTGTTATTTTGGTCATTTAAGCCATTTCAGGTCATTTACCATCATTGCTACTGATATAGTATCCAATAAAAAGATCCTGGTTAGTAATGTAAATTGGATCCGCGCAGTAGGCGCAGCGCACATAGATTTAAATTTGCGCATATATCAGCGCTCTTCATATATATAATGCGCGTATAAATTTCTTTTTTGTGCATATTTTTTTTTGCGTTTGCGCCAATAAAAATTTTTTGAATTTATAACACTGATCCTGGTACAAATCTTGATATCATTCTGTTATTCAACTCCAGTAATGTTCTAAAGCACGAAATACAAATTACCGTAATACATTTGAACTATTTGGTAGAGTTTTTAAATCGTTCTTTTTTTTATGAACCCAACCTATTTATTTAACATTTGATTCTATACAATTTCGATTTATTTATATTAACATTTATACATACTATTAAAATTTAATAAATTTGTTTTCACACTTTGTTAAAGTTCGTAATATGATTTTTTTTTTTAGGTATGTTCAAAGTTTTTGCTAACTGTATAAATCCTTAGCAAATGTAGTTTTTATAGAATGTTTATAAAAAATTTCAATGTGATATATTATGCAACAAGTTATATTTCCATTTGACTTTTGCCGTTTGTATAATGCTGACATCTCTGTTTAAATTATCTTCTGAAATTATATAAATTTCATGTCTATGAACCAAAGAATTTCCGATTTATAATATAAAATTAATGAATTGACATATTTCTAATTTGCTTTGTCACTTTTGCTTATTACACAAGCAAAGATATTAATTTTAACTTCACATCATCTATTTTTTAAAGATTCACAAATCTTCTTTTCTAACAGTCACAGAATTCTCCTAAACAGGCACATACTCCTGTAGGAGTTGGGGCTTCTTCCGTTGAAGTTTGGGTAGCAGACAGAATAAAGGTTGGAGTAACAGGACTGATTAACGATGTAGTAGGAGCAATTGTATTTTCAGGACCGATTGAAGATGTAGTAGGAGCAATTGTATTTTCAGGACCGATTGAAGATGTGAATGTAGTAGTGGAACCAATTAAAGATGCGAATGTAGTAGTAGGACTGATTGTAGATTCGAATGTAGTAGTAGGACCAGTTGAAGGACCAGTTGAAGATGTGAATGTATTAGCAGGGCCGATTGTAGATGCGGATGTAGGAGCCGAACCAACTAAAGATGTGATTGTAGTAGATGGTCCAGCCAAAGAAGTAGTTATTAAAGATTCGGTTGAAGTAGTAACAGATGTGACTAAAAGTGTGGTTGTAGTAGTGGTAGTAGTTGGTGTTTCAACAGCAGTAGGCAACGGCGGATTTACTATTGTTTCAAATGAAATTTGAGTTCGTATGATGGTAGGATTATACTGCCTGGCTACTAAAATCTTCAAATTTCCGGTATATTCATTTTTTACTAATAAATTTGGAAATAAAGTATTAGCATCATTCGTAATCAGATTTGCATATATTCTTATACACAATCTAAAATATATTTTATGTACGTACAATTTGAAAACTTGTTATTTACCGGAATTGGATATGATCGTGTGGTAATGTTTAGAAAAGTTACAAAAGCTAGGAAAAATGTAAAGAATATTGAAAACATTTTAAAATATTGCAACTATTAAAATTTCAATAACAGAATTCGTTTTTTAAATAATAGGTTTGTAAAATGTGTAAAATATGACGAGGTTAAAATACTCTAATTTGGATGTCCGTTTTTTATTCTTACCTTAACGTTAATATTTATGTAACAGTAAGCCATTCTTTTTTTTTTACATAGTGAATCTCGTCATAAATAATGATATATAAATGGAAATTGCTTTATTAATGTTAAATCTGTCCACATGTACGAATTCGGGTCAAACGAGTTTTTCTCTAATGTTGTCATACTTTATTATTTATTTCTATTCAGAAATAAATATCATGTAATTATCATTATAGTTATAAATACTCGTTTTAACAGAATTCTTGTTCAAATAAAAAGCCAAACAGTCCAGCCAATTATTTTTATACTTTAGCATTAACCAAAATTTTCGGTTTATTTATAAACTATGGATCGTCGGCCGAATCGATGTTTACAATGTTGGCTATGAATATACGTAATCTGTGGTTTTTATCATTTAGGACAATTTCTAAAATATCTTTATATGCTATTAAAGTATATATCGATATGTGCAGCAATTACATATGTACGTACGTACGTATCATTATATATATTTATTTTGCCGAGCTTATTTTAGTATTTATATAATCATCTTGCGCCATTGAAATGTATTTTAAATCTTATTTATTTATTCATTTTATTTACTTATTTATTTATTTTTTTTTATAACAGAAACTACAAAAAGTTTATGCATCATCAATTTTGGTGGATGAAATTCTTTTTTTTTCTTAACATTTATAAAAATATTATGTGCCCGTGTCCAAGGACCCACATTCATATGCTATAAATAATTTAATAATGCATGCGTTTTAAAATATATCTGGCGTACACGCATATCGTACTTGGATCTACGTGCGTACACGTACGTATACGTAGTTGGTGGAACTAATTCAGGTCCAATTTGTAATGCTCGATATGTCAAATACAAATAGCAGACAATATTAGTTTAATTTGCACAAAAATAATTAAAGTTCACCAATTAAATCAGGTGTACTAAAATATAGGATATCTTCAATATGCTGGGAAAAAGCTCTGCCAAGGAAAACTGATTACAAGATTAGTTATTCTAGTCGGGGACGGAACATCTAACGTTAAATTGATACTCGATGCACAATGCAATCAAATCAGATTCTTCGAAATTTAACAGATATTAAGTTCTGTTTGATCCTATTTAGAGAGCAATACTTATTGTAAAATGCCGGATGTTTCCGTTTTACGTAAGACAACGACTTCTCATCAATCGGAAAATTTACATTTACTTAGACAAATTTTATTGGTCGTTATATCGGAACAATTGTGATACCAAGTCCGAATAATATCATCGAACCTGGTCTCGAACTCAATCTCAAAACTTAGTCCTCATATTTTTGAACCATAAAATTAATATTTTTGTCGTAGCTCTCACCGGATATTAAGCGTTAATATATCAAGAATGAATAACGTTTGAAACCAACTAAGACAGTGATTTCGATAGAAACTTAAACCTTAACTATGCTAAGTATATGGCAAAGTATAAGCATAGATGAGATCTTTTCAGGGTCGGGTATTATGGGCACCTAAAAGTGCTAATAGTAAAATTCCTCAAGAAAATATATTATTTCTAAAATTTATTAAAATAAACTAATATTCGACTTCATATCTATCGACAAGCCAAAAAAAAAAAAATCACAAATATTTTTAAAAAAAACTTGATACGTATTCAGAACTTCCAAAGGTCTAAAAACTGTTGTTTTTTCTTAGCTGGAGGTATTATGGCGCACTATGTATACGTATCGATATTTACACGTATTGTATTACAGTTTATACATTACAAAAATAACCCTTTTTATATTTTGTTTGCCGATCTCTTTTCCGAAATTGCTCAAATAAGAAAAAAGAGAAAATTATT